GGCATGGTTGATAGTCTGTTATGTTTTTTTGTATAACATTTAATAGCGATACGGAAATTAATCATTCATCCAGTCCAAAACTGTTACCGTCTTGTTCCGTATCACTATTAAATGTTATACAAAAGAACATAACAGACTATCAAACATGCCTATTATTGTAAAAGTGTATATAAATATTATATTGTAAGAATATTTTGTTTTGTCTGAAGAAGTTGTTTTTCAAACAACGAAACGTCACGTGTTAATTCTAAATTTTGTGAAATTTATATGTAAATAAATTTATCATATAAAGGAAGAGAATAAATTATGTCTACTAGATCATTTGAATACATCACGTATTTTCTTTCCTAGTTCATATTACCTTTCCCATTTCTTTTGATCATTCTTTGATATATAAATTTATGTATGCATATTTTCATGATCGAAAGGCTTAAATTTACTCTTCAAATGAATCTTGTTTCACATTAGAACAATCAAGAAAATTACAACGTATTTTTTTCAATTCTCCACACACATACTGCCTCATCCTCGATGAAGTTGATTTGATCATCGATTAATCTTTCGAATGAGAGGATTTTGTCTAATTCATGGTGAACTTTGTCGCTTTGTGAAAATCATTGATAGAAGGACAAATATCGATTATGAATTCGTTTAGCAAAGAAAAACAAAATCTGTTCATTTGTGTTTATTACTTAGATAAATAGCTCACTAAGTTCATTCTAGCCTAATGTTTCCATTTTTCTGATGTTTCGAACTGTTCGAATGAGTTACTTATCAAAGTCAAACAATTAAAGACGAAGCAATCGAAAAAAGTTTCGATGACGTTGTCACGATTGGTGTAATGTTAAATAGTATGTTATAAGACACTGACTTGTTTTGTCGAATGTTTCGTTGGTAATTTTCAACTAACGAAAAAACAAGTTTACCTTTTCTGGTCTGTTGTTCCTCTTTTTACGAGCAAATTTTACTTCACTTGTGTAGTGTCGATAATATGTGCATTTAGTCAGAGGAAATAATATTCACGGTGAAAAACCAAATGATGCATGACTTGTGAGAAGAAAAATATTGATCTTTAGTGCAAGGAAACTTCCGTGATATAGAATGTAAATATATTGATATTTGATTGTCTTCGATGTTAAAGAATTTCAATCATTGAAAGTGAGAAAATGAACTTTGCACAGTGACTGGAAGCAGAGTATCCACAAATGAAGGATGAGTTGCTACATTTGATTTCAATATTGATCATCAAAATCTTCAATTTTTCTTGTTTGCTTTTGCTCGATGTCGTGAGATTGAAATGAGTTGATTTTTGTCCCATTGATGATCATTTCAATGAAAAAGAATGTCATTCGGATTTATTTCCTTCAAACATACAAAATATGATTGATATGGAAATGATCTTTCTTAGCAAAGAATTTTTCTTAATAAAGTTTCCATAGTATTGAGAATTGAAGAAGAAAAGGGTGTGGGTGTGGGTGAGTCAAGCACACCAAGACCGGTTTCGTGTGGGTGTGGGTGAGATTGCAATGAATAATACAATCACAAGCTAGCAAAACGCGTTGCGATAAACACTTATTGAAATCTTGTCAATTGCTAGTGATTTAAAGGATGTGGGTGTGGGTGAGTAAAGCTGGTCAAGACATGTTTCGTCCTTGCTAAAGGGACTCCTCAGTTGACTTGTACTCATTCAATTGTAAATGATTACGAAAATCAAAAACAAATTGAAATAATCTATCAAAATTCAAAAGAAGAATAAAATCTTCAATTAAAAGTAATAGATATCCTCAAAGAAGGATGAGTAAAGCTAGTCAAGGCATGTTTCGGTAAAAAATCGATTATGATTATCTAAATAGACTTAAGAAGAGTTCATTGAATGTTAGAATGTTTGATAGTTTCATGGATGTAATTCGGAGCTTTTTTCATGTTTCGTGTATCAATGGATGTTCTCGAGAAGAGGGTGGGTGAGTTTAAAGAGAAATGATTCTAAGCAACCACACGACTAGTTTCGTCCTTGCTTAAGGGACTCATCAGGTATGTTCAGAATTCAAAACAACATTAATCAATAAACCAATAAATGAATAAAAATCAAAAACAATTCAAAAAAGAATTGTAATGATTTAAAATTCAATGGTTTGAAAGATAGAATCGTTGTTAATTGAGGGTGAGGGGTGAGGGTGAGACTAGCTACCATAATCTAGATTTCATCCCGACTAAAGGAATCATCAGATGGCATTGGACCAAGATATGATTCAGTAAAGAATCAACAAGATCTTATTCAAATTTCTGTTGAAAAGTTCAGAAAATGAACAATTTCAATGAAGAATACAAGTAGTAGTGGTGAGACTAGCTACCATAATCTAGATTTCATCCCGACCAAAGGAAGCATTAATTATAGAACGATCGGACAATAAAGATTTAGTTGTTATTATGACGAAGATAGGTATCATTGTCAGAATCATTATCGATATTAGAAGCTAAAGTAGTTTATTTACGGATAGGAAGAAGATTAGTGATTGGAATGGATGTTCTTTAGTTTATCTCCTCAGTTAAGAATGATTACACTTATTGATCAAAAGAAAGGTAGGGAATATGATTGATATATCATGTTAGGTAAGATGTCAAAGGAAGAACTATCATCTGTATGGTTCCATTTTGGGAATAGTGATGAAAGAACAGAGGAGACTCTAAAGAATTAGAATAACTAATAGAAGAGATAGGAACAAGTCGAATTCTTATCTCATTGTTCGATTTTGATGGATGGAGTGTAAATATGGTTGATAATGATGGATAGTTTGTTGGAGTTGATCCTCAATCTTTGTTCTGTCTAGAAAAGAAAAAAAGGGTGAGGGTGAGTATAGCAACCATGATCCAGATTTCGTCCCTGGTACAGGACTCATCAGATGGCTTTAACTCTGCTATAGTTGTTCAAATGAGTCAAATCTTTTCTGCATATCATCGGTTGAAGTCATATATCAATGATAGTTGGAATACTCAAACTGTGTCAATTGGGATCATTATTGTAGCAGTAATTTACAGTTTTTTCGCCTGATGAAATATTTTTTGTGACATGGTACGCTTCTGGAAGTTCTGTGTGAGAAAAATCAATAATGGGTTTAATAGAAAAAATCGATAGGTCAGTCTATCTTTTGTCACTAAGATTCGGTGTGAATGGCGCGTGGTCAGGCATTGGGATCGTTATTGTTGTTTGGTTTGTTCAGTTGTTGTTGTGATGGTTCTTGTTCAATCGTACGAGTTCTCTAGCGAGATTGGGATTCGTTCGATGACCAACAATAAGACGTGTTGCCTCCAATGGTGTATCGTAGAATGTTTTATTCCAAATTTGATGTATTGCTCGTCGATAAGAGGCAAATCGTTTTTTCATGTGTATAGTGAACTATAATGGAACTAGCTTGCTCGCGACGTTTCAGAAGCCTCTCTTTAACGAGAGAATCTATGGGTGTGGGTGTGGGTGTGTTGAAGTTACCACAATACTAGGAATAGATAGTATTTCGATTTTTCAAAGAAATCTTATCAAGTGGCAAAGTATTCGTATGAATGATCCACAATTTTGAAGAAAAATTTTTGGACCAAATACAAAATACTTCATCAATTCTACGGGGAGTAGAATTACACCAAACATGGGTGCGTTGAAGTTGCCACAATACTAAGAATAGATAGTATTTCGATTTTTCCTGTTCTCGTTTTTTTGGGTGGTTTAGTTTTGATGGTATGACTATATACTATGAAACGAAAAGCTCCAGATGCAATGTAGGTTTATATTATTGTGTGTTGAAAATTTTTAACGTAATATTAGTGTTCCTGGTGTGGTAATGATAAGTTGTTTTTGAGTCTTCGATTTATTGTTATTGAGATGTCCTGGTTTAGCAACTGCATTGCTGAATGTCATGTGGATATTAATGATAAGGTTCATCAGATGCAGTAGCCATTGCTTTTGTTATTCACCATTGCAATGGTACCAATTAAGATGATCGTCGAGTACCTGTACATAATGAACTGACAGCTTCATCATATTTTTGATATCGGTGAGATTGTGCTCTGTGACGAGATATATTATTTTACCATGTTTCAAGTTGTTTTTGATTATCAATGAATGCAGCTTGACTAACTTGATTGCTTGAAAACAGATGATATCCTCGGGCTAGTAGCATTTGTTGATTAAGACTGTTTATTGTTTGAAGTGTTTTTGAGGAATTAGAAAGAATGGTGAGAAATTTACGAAGTATAGCATTATATGGACAGTTTTCATCTTTTGTGTCAGCATATTTGTGAGAGCGATCGGTGTTGGTGCGTCTTGAACGAATTCTACATACATAAACCTATAATTGGAATAAAATGAAACAATAATTGTAAATCATTTCTTTGTTTTTCGCTTCATTAATGAGTTCGTTTAAGACAAATTATGCTTCTGCTCGATGAAAATAACATAAAACATAAGGTTTTCGGTGTTTGAGTTGTTGTAATTCATTGAAATTGTGATTAATATTGGTACTAATCGATGCGATTTTCTTTGAAATAGGAGATGATCTATTTTGCTGTTTTGTTCGATAGTAAATGATGAAATGAACGAGATACTACCAATAAAGATGATTATGAATAAGTAGTAATTTGTTTGTGTATATTGTTCTAATTTTAAGGCAATGTTTTGATATTGATTGCTTTTAGATTCACTACATTGAAGAGCATAACATATAGTGAGAGATAAATAAAGAATCGATAAAAGAAGAAATAAATGCGAGTATTGTTGCATCGTTATGTTATTCGAATAGATCTATAAGAAATGAAAAAGAAACAAGTAATATGAAGAGCTATAAGTAACACTTGTGACAGTGTATTAAAATTTTATAATGATATATTATTGATAAAAGTTTAGCTACACTAAGAGAATAACAATAAGACGCATGCAAAAGAAAAAGAAGAAGAATAAGATAACATATATGATTTGTAATAGATGGCTAATAACCGAGCATGAAAAGTATCTAAATGAATAGAAATATAAAGAAATAAATATTTAAGATTGATGTCTCTCACTTCATGTATGTATGTTCGATCGAGCCAAGAGAGTGTTTGATGAATAACAATGTTTAGTGTTGAATTTGATTTTCAATTCATACTCTTTAAAGTGTAGGTCTTGCTCGAGAATTTCAGAGCAAAGTTTATAAAATTTTTGATTGAATTGACATCTTGAACCCCAATCGAAAAGATAATGTAATTGAATTAATTGATAATTTTTATGTAATTCTTGTTCTTCTTCCGGATTATGTCTCTGTTGATCGATACAACGAAATAATTCATGGCGAATTGAAAGATATGTGAATCGATTGAGATTCATTGGTTCATGTGACTTCGAATTAAAACGTAAAAAGAATTGTCTTAATTGATATTCGACAAAATCTAATGAATAGCCATTAGCAAGAAAGGTTAATTCAAGATAAAGTCGTTCTTCTTCGAAATCTTCGAATGAACTACAATATTGACCAGCACGTATAAGAGCAGCTCGAAACCATTGTGGATGAAATAATCGTGGATGACTATGTGTATAAGGTAATAAAAATGGTTGACTTATTGAATCATGATAAACACTCGTATATAAGCGACCTTTTTGATTTTCAATAAATGCATGAAGAAAATGAACATCACTACCAATAAATGTTGTCATTTGAAGATTTGAATCTAGTTCTTGTTGAAGTTCATCAAATATTTTCTGTAATGTTTCGATGGATGCATTCCAGGTTAGAAAACCGATATCATTATATCGACCATAGAATGCCTCTTTGATACGAATGTTTCTAACTAAAGGTACTTGCCAATGATGTAAATAGATACTAGCCAATAATTCTGTTAATGGTAGATTTAATGGAGATCCTTTAATAAATCGATATACTTTTCCATTGTATGAGAAAATATTATTTGTTAGAACTAGAGCAGTTAATTGTACAATAGCATCATCTGATAATCTTTGATATAGACCAGTCATAAGTGGATTCACTGAGAATATATGTAATGCATCAAGAAGAGTTGTGTGTGATATTTTCGTATATAAATCATGAATTTAAAATGTTGCAACATGTGTTTTTGGTAGAAAAAGATTAGGTTGTGTATAATAATATTGAAGTTTTTGCATAAAATCACCACTATTTAGAAAAGTAGTTGATCGAGAAAAATGATAAAATAATGGTCGAAGAAGTTGATCAAGATATTGTACTAATCGTTGAATTGGAGAATATTGATAAGATGAAAATCTTGGTTGAACTGACATATAGACATCTTCATTTGTTTCTGGTAAGAAATAAAGATGTGGCAATTTCAAATTTAACCTCTTATTGATACTAAATTTAGTTAAATGATCTATATTAATTAATTTTCTTTGATATACGTTTTCTAATTGAGAATTGATAGATATGATAATTTGATGTAACTGTTGTTGTTCTGTATGAGTTTCATCTATTGTTCCAATTAGTTCATAACAAGTTGAATTTTCAATATATTCCTGCGATTTTTGATTAAAACTCATCGAATTGACCCAAATAATATGTATTCATATCATCGGCTGTTCGTCGTAGAATTAAGTTGATCTTTTTTCAAATGATATTGAATTGATTGTATCCACTGTTTTTCATAGAATGCACGCTCTTCAAGTACACCAGGCATCGATCGTATGAATGAATCATTGCATGATTGTTGAATTTCGTTTTCAAAATTCATTCGTCGAGAAAGATCAACTGAATATTTAGTGAATAGGTGTGTGAGTTCTCGTTGAAGTGGTGCCATTTGTTTCGTAACAATTTGAGCCAATGTTATAGAGGATTTTGATAAAATATGTATTTGACATTGGTGGAACATAGGTTGGCCCACGATTGAGAAATTTTATTGATTCCAATGATAGATGATGTCGTGTATCTTGAATCATGGTTGGTGAACAAGTGATATTTGATTTTTGGATAAGAATGCTCCGACGATCGATCCAATCTAATTCTTGACCGTCGGAGCTTTGACGAAAAAACGTAATTTTAATTTGTAAAGACATATAAGACGTTCATTTATATTTTTGAAACGTCGTTCCATAATATCCAACATAGTATGAGTTAATTTCTGATGTTGTGAACTGGTACGTTGATTTTCTTTCATTTTAGCCAAGTCAGTATCAAATTTATTTTGATATTCATTCATTTTTGCTTCGGCTGTGGTGATATAAACCATCATCATGTCAGATTTTGTTCGTTGTAAAATTTTCTCACATTGATCTGTTAAACGTTGACGAGTAGTTCTATCAATAATTGTATCTAAGGAGATGGGCGCAGGTATTTGAAGTGATTCAAATGATTGTGGTAAATGATTATAAACAATACGATGTTTCAATATAGCAACATCAAATTTAGCTGTTTCTTTTTCATATTTAACTTGAGTAAGATTTTCAAATATTTGTTTTTGATATTCATTCGGATTTTGTTGATCATATTCTATTTGAATTAATCGATCATTATAATCATATTTGACAGTAGCAATGAGTCCTTCTGTGGGTACTTTATATAATGGTATGACATGTTGTTGAACAAATTTTGTGATAGCTTCTTCGATTTCATATGCCCAATAGTTGTTTAAATGTTGTTTTCTTTCTTTCAATTGAGCTTAATAATGTTCTGTTTGATTTTGAAATTTTTGTAGCACTCTCTGGACATAATCCAAACAAGAATCATGATCTATTTCATTTGGATCAGATACAGGTGTTCGACCACAAGCAATCATTTTTGTTTTGACTTGTACAGGCCACAATGAGAGTGTAGTAGTTGATTGTGGCTTTAATGTACCTGTACCAGAACGTAAATATGTAGTCCATAGTAATCTGTCTAGCTCAATACATTCAAGTTGATGAATAAGAAATGAAATCTCTCGTAAATATTCAATACTGATAGAACGTCTTGTCTTTTGAAGTACAGGATTGATCATTTGTTCAAAAGCTTTATTATTACTTGATAAATATCTTGGCATCATACTATTTGATTTTTTCTTCTTCATTTGGTTTCATTTTTTTCGTTATGTTAACTGTTGTTGCATTTGATGTTAAAGCTGGTCGTTTCTTCACGGTTGATGGTATGAATTTATCACTATCCTCTTGTTCTTTATCAGTAGCTGATAATTGACTTAATTTTTGAGATAAATGTTCTTCTTCTACTACTTCAGTAGTCAGATCGACGATAATGTTCTCGTCATCATTTAATTGTTCAATTTCAAATACATCTATATTGTTATCATCATTATCATTGTCTTTACCAATATTCATATAAAGATTATCAAAATCAACATTTAGATCTTCTTTGCCTTCTTCATCCATATCATCGCCATATTGATAGAAAATATCATCGAATCGATCAATATCTTTTGCCATCTACAATAGATCATTGATAATATTTAGTAACTATTGTTAATTTTTGTGTGAGTTAAGCTTACGTTTCGATGTGAATCAGCCATTAGTTTTGTATTTAAGAATACTTTCGATCGGTATTAATATATCTAAAATTGTGAAGAAAATTAAAATAAAAACTATTATAAATAGTTATGCTTTCATAATATATATTATAATAAACAAAAAGGAACAAATATTTGATAGAATAAAATAAAATCTAAACATGATAACCTGATTTGAAGGATTTTGTTTATTTCTTATATTAGATCATCATTCTAAATATAGAATAGTTAAAAACTATCTAAACGAAAAAGCGAATTCTACTATTAGATTCATAATGGAAATACGAAGGTCTTTAAGGAAATTGTTAAATGATATGAATATGTAATTGGAAAAAAAGAGTATCCAATAAGATTGAGTTCTGTTTTGAAAGTTTTTCGAAATAAATGTTCATATGCCATGGTAAATAACATTAATATTCAATGTTGAACGAAACACTATCATCTGGAATCGATGTCATTGATGATGGAGAAAGTTCTTTATTTTGATCAATTGATTGAGTTTTGACTAGATCTTGATGTGAGAGTTGTTGTTTGCCAAGATGAAAAATGAAATGTTTTGGACATTTTAATAAGCAAAAATTAAATCGATTGAAGTCGACATTTGATATCCATATATAAATGATAAATCCAATACATATACTGATAAGACACAAACTAATTAGATCATACCAACTTGTTAATATTCGATCAATTTTTAAATGATCATGACGAATATCATCGGTCATATGTATTGCATTGATAGAATTCTGAATTAAATTATCAAGCATGGTATGGTAATCATTAATGATTGTTCGTAATACATGTAAATCAATCTTAAATGCATTGATATGAGGTTGTATTCGTTGAGTATTATTCTCTTTTGCAATGATTGTATATGGATATTGTTTAAATAATTTCAGATATAAAGGCATCCAAAAAGAAAAAATATTTCAAATGCTTCTCAATTCCTTCTTCCATATATGTCTCATTTTATCAGGCATATTTGAGTTATCCAATGGATTACCTCTTCATGATCATGATACATA